TCAAAAACCTTCATTTCTTTTCGACTGAAGAAAGACATAGACATCTTGGATGACATGGGGGTGAGTAAATGATTTTTTTTTAAAAAGTGAACTAATCCTTTAAATGTGCTGCAAATGGTGTCTTACCATTGTTTTCCCCATATTTTTCAGACACTGAGCATCCCAGCACTCTTCTTCAGGCCTGGGTTCCTCTTCTGCCCTCGTGGCAATGTAAGAAGCGCTATGGCGAGCGATTCACAAGCCACGACATGCTGTGTGCGGGCAGCATGACGTCTGACCTGAGAAAGCACGCTGACAGCTGCCAGGGCGACAGCGGGGGTCCGCTAGTGTGTCAGGGCGAGGCAGGGCGCTGGGTACTGACAGGGGTCATTTCCTGGGGTCACGGCTGCGGTGACCCCTCGTACCCAGGTGTGTATTCACGGGTCAGCCGTTACCTGCTCTGGATCGAACAGGTGACACACAGCACCGCCCCTCTTCAGCACTGAAGCACCACTCTCTCGGAAAACCACCTCAGAGACCCAGGACTCTATGAAAGGAAAAACAAGAGCCTAACACCTGCTATATGCTTTCAACACCCTGGATCTTAATTCCTCTGTATTCTAACTGTACAATTTGACATCTTTAGCATTTAGAGATTAGGAAGTCTAGAGTCTGGGAAGGTTATCATTCATCTAGGACACTGTAGAATGACCAGTGTGATGTTAAAGGGACAGTTCACCTCATCATTTACTCACCCTCTAGTTCCAAACCAGTATGAGGGTTAGTAAATGAGGATAATGTTTTCATTTTAGTGTGCGACGATATGTGATTCTACAAATGTTTCTAGCGCCATCCAGAGGCTGCGGTGCATGTTAATGTATGTATTGTCTTTAAAAGCCATTTGATGCAGCTGCCCAGGCCTTCCGCATGGTATAGAATGGTAGCAAAAGCTCTGCAAAAGCAGGTTTGATTTTTATTCTGTGGGGTGGAAGAAAACGGAATGGATTATTTTACTATTCTTATTTAACAGAAGGCTTGAACTGCACCTCTAATCTTCGTGGAAACATTTTCAGTGTTGTGGATTAGACGAGTAAAATGAATCACGTAGGCTCTCTTAGATAGCGGCAGTCGAAGTGATCTTTAAAGCCATGTGTCTTCTTGTATGTGTCATACATTTAATGCAGTTTTTAAATCATGTACAGCCAATTATGATATTTAACTTTTCAAATTGGCGTTCATTAACTGTCAATATTGATGAATTAACATACAGCTCTTGAAGATACAGTAAATGACTGTTTGTTTTGTTTTGTTTGTCTCAGTCTAAGTACAAGTTTTAGAATGGCATTTTAGTATCATAATAGCGAATAACCTAATGTGACTTTTCTCTTATTTGTCATGGTGATTTAATACGAGTGTCATTATGTAAAGGTAGTATGGCAATTGTTCATTCAAAGGGTGAAATCAAGAGGAGTTTCTCATTTCTAATGCGTAGAAAGTGCAAGTTTGTGACTGACTATATTTTGGTTGACAGTCAGTGTAATGAGATTTTTTTTTTGTTGTAGCATCTGTACTTTGTTCTGTGAACTGTGTGTTTTCATCCAGTGGGTGGCGATATTGTGTTTTATTTTTTTTACTCAATTCTTTTCTGTGCTGTATATAGATTCTAGATTATTTAGTCTGTTTCTTATTTTAAACCCTTTTTGACTGTTTCTTCACGAATTCCACTAGAATTCCAGAACAGAGTACATGCAAAGAATGACAATTTTTTTGTATTTAATTTGAAGAGAAAAAAAGTAAGCAACAAGGGCTCTTTAAAATGCATCATTAAGAGAGGCAATAGGCAAATTTAGGCTACAGTATATAAGAAATGACATCACATATGATGGATGAGAATGTAAAAGCCAAGAGCTTCATATACATCCAATTATGTCGTGATTGCACATTTAGATGTGATAAATTTAAATAGTTATTTCCAGTTGTGCAAAATATGGGCTGGGTGAAAATAATGTGAAATTTAACATTTCCAAAAATTGAAGGAAGTCTAAATCATGTTCCTTTTTAAGTGTGCTCTAGCGATGCAACAAATTGTCACAGAATCTCTCTATAAAACACTCACACACAGTTTACTACGAGATCTGACATTACTTCTAAAAAGCCAGTTATTAACTTTAAAAAGTTATATTCAGCCTGCTTCATAATTGATGCGTATTGTCATACAAATTATTCTAATAATCTGATATTGCCTGCTAAATTAGTTAACAGGCATATATTATTCATGTATTCTTAATGTTAGTGGAGCCATGCCTTCCGATGGGGCCGCATATTTTTATGGCATTTTATTGCTATAAAACCCAGGACTACACATTAAAGAAATAGGAACAGTTAAGATCTTAAAGCACTACTTCAGTTTTTTTTCTAAGAGGGTCTTGTTGGTATGTTCTGGAGATGCATCAAATGGAAACTGGACTGGATCAAGTGCTTTTCCTCTTTGAAGACTAACTTCTGTGTTTGGATGGTGCCTGCTTAGATCTTCAAAAGCCATTTTAGAAGTAAACTACACAGGCCTCGCTCTCAGAACCCTGCTTAAAGTGGCCAATCACTGCATCAGAGCTTCGGGACTCTTCATCAAGGGCCGTGATAAGGAGCTCATCTCCTTGACTTTGGAGAGTGTTGATATCTGTTGCATGTCATGCAAGCATCTGTTTGTACATTGATGATGTTCTCAGTCATTACCAAGTCTTTGAGTTTCTGTAACCCTCTGAATATTTTCATGTGTGACAAGTGCCAAAATAAAGTGACCTCTTCTTGTGGCTTTGGCTTTGTATTGCTTCTCATGGTTTAATTGTAGGCTATTTAGGTTTATTAAAATACATTTTTGAAGATAATTTTTACATTTCATATTGATTATTAATTTGAATTTGATTGTAATATTAAGACCTACTGTATTTTACCACTGCAATAAATGTTTTTGCACTTAAAAAAACATAAAAAAACAAAAATAAAAACACATGTATAAATATGGACCATTCTACAGAATTGGTGCAAACTGCTGTCCCACAATCAAGAAACACATTTAAAAAGCTTTCAAGTGTTCAAATTTTAAATGTTTACTAAGATATTTTTTGAATCCCACAATAATTTTAATATATAATTATAATAAGTTTAATATATATATATATAATATTATCATTTATTGGATACTTTCAATTGGGAGGTGGCTGTCCTGAACCCTAACCCCTAAATTTCAACTTTAAATTTTATCATGAAATTTTATGTGAAAAAAAAGTGTCCCGCACATCATGTCACTACCGAAACAGTTGTGTTTTAGTCCATTGGCTGAGAATGATTTTAACCACACCCCTACCATTTTGATCAGGAAATATTCCTGTGTCCCTCTCTCTCATAGCGTCTCTTTCATTGTAGGTACCATCATTTTGAGGGAAATGTGGTCAAAAGTCTGAAAATCTGTGTGTAACTTTAAAGAACTTTTTTGGGTGTTAATCCATAAAATGTAGTTTTTATGTGTGTACAACTGTTATGGTAACTACATGCTGGCTATCATCTTTGAACTAGGCTCAAAAGTGTCTAAAATTGTCACTACCGAAACATATACAGTTTCGGTTATGACGTCAATGAAATTTTGTTTTTGTGTGTGTACAACTGTTCAGAACTGAGCTAGTTAACCATGTGCTGATTATTTGAGATATAGGCACAAAATTAACTAAAATTGTCATTACCGAAACAATCATGACCGATACATGTCATCATTGTCAACACATTGACATGTCATCACCACTTTATCATTTATTTGGGGAAATAAAGAATTTTTTAGTACAGTAATGCAAATCGTTAGTATTTTAGTATGTTTATAGTGTGTTAGTATGTGAGTTAAAATTCTGTAGTGTGATGTCACTACCAAAACATTACTGTCACTACTGAAAATGTGCCGTCACATGGGATGTTTTGTCTAAAATAAAATATTTTGAATTATCAACTAAGAAGATGTTATCATAGTGTTTGGTTCAATGTATATTCAAACTAATGAATCCTTAATTTTGAAATCAGTATGATCAACTTAATGCCTTTTACAAAGAAAGATTGTTTTCTACAACAAATTGTATAAATTACACTTGAAATATTGTTAAAATTGTATTTGTTAATGATTTACCTGTGAAAACTTTTTTTAAAGTCCAAAAATATATGTACAAGGTAGATGTTAACAAAATATTGATGTCAATAATAGCCTTCTTGTTAAATTATTTCAGTAGTGACAAATTTGGGGAGAGGAGAAATATTCCCAAACTTTCTGAAAATACAATAATTACAGTAACTGCAAAATGACTAGAAATGTACCTTGGATATTATACAGTTTGCATAGGCCTACATACAAAATTTGGAAAAAAACATATAGCCTATTTTTTTCAAGACGTTTCCAACTCTGTCTTTGAACCAATTCTTAGAATAACACATAGGCCTAGGCCTATATATAGCCTGCGTATAAATGAACTGTGACATAGTTAATCTGGTTAATTTCTTCCTCTTTTCTTTTTTTTTCCTGGTTTGTAGAAGTTTTGAATGTCTGGTAACTTAACTTAAATTTAGTAGCCAAATTGGCTGGTGGATGAAAAAGTTATTTCAAACCCTGTATATACTATAGGCTATGATAGGCTATAGCCAATAGAAGATCATTGTACACAGCATATTGGACACAAAGTGTGAGTCATCAATATTTTTGGTCTGTTCTGGGAAAGCTACATACAGTGAGTTTTTGTTAACTATAGGCCTATATGCTGTCATATATGATTTTATTTACATTTATTTATTTTAAATTTGGTTTTAATTGATCACTTAAACAGATTATTTTTCGAATAGACGAATAGAATGTTTAGTTAGCCAACGGTAAAAAAAAACCTATAGGTAGGTACCATAGAGGTGGGTACCCTAACATGACAGGGGTGTAGTGCATGGATGAGGAGCTTAGAAGTTCGTGCTGTTTTGTAAAGAACCCTCCCCGCGTGCCCGTCAGCTGCTCTACTCTCGCGCATTCGGCGCGCGCTGAAGATGGCGGAGCAGCGCGAGCCAGCGGCGCAGGATGCGCTCACGAGACATCAAAGTTCTTTCTGTGGCGTCCAGTTGATTCGGATTCTCGCGACCGCTCTCAAAGCGGGCATTTAAAACGGTAAGTGGATGCGTGCTGAGTGCTGTGTTCTATGCGTGTTTCAAGGTGCTGTTGGCTTTTTCTGGAAACACACACACACACACACGCTGGTTTGGCGTTGACTTCAGTTGCAATGTGGCAGTCCGCTAGATGCAGAACATCTCGCCTTCAGCCTTGAGTTATGCACAAGGACTTGTTCTATGAGAGTGGTATGTACTAGTGGATTGTTTGTTTTGAAGACAAATCAGTGATTGTTTGCAAAGTTGCAGTGTTGACATTTTGCTTGAGACCATCAAATTCTCTACAGTCAGTCAGTAGCCAACAATAGGTGGAAGAGACCTGTCAAAATGTTTGTCTTTAGAACGGGGTTAGTTTATTTTTAGTTTGTGTTAAGCTTTTATATCTTAATGGAAATCAAGGTTCTGTTGCACAGTTGCGTGCTGAAATGGGGCTGTTTATTTATTTATCTGTTGCAGAGATTGACCGATATTGCTTTTTTATGACAGAAAAAAATTGTTATTAATTGTCTGATAAAATTAGGCTACATAACCGATATTTATTGTTGACAATGATGATTCGACCACAAAAATAGATGTTAAAAATAGATTGAGAATGTTTTAAATAATAACAAGCCTAATGATCTAGATACAAAAATGTTTTTTGTTTTGCATTCATTTAGCAAAAGATACACTTTTCTTACTTGAGGATAATTAACTGTTATTTAAGTCATTGTGTCATTTTCCAAAAATCATAAATTAAGTTTAAATAAATTGTTTGTAGTCTACTATAGATACTCAACATAATGGTGGCATTTATCTGTAGCCTGATAAAAGAACCAATAATTGATTAAATTGAAAATTGTGAGTATCGTTTACAAAATATTGTTTAAACCAAACAGTCTACCTCAATTATAAAGAATCTTTTATCACAGTTATCTCCATGTAATTCCTCGCGCAAACAAACCTGTTGATGATGTATCTTTGTGCTAAAACATTCAACCTGGAATTGTTTGCTGTGAGCATTTGGGGTGTTGCCAGTGCAGTCTGTGATATTCTGCCAAGGTGTGTGGGAAGTTTCTCTTGATGTGTTTATTTTGTCTGTGTTTTGCACTTCAAAAAAAATGTTTTAGAGGGAATAGACAAGTTAATGATATTTGTTGTCATTCTAACATAAGACTAAATGACATATTTTAAAGCACAAGGGCCTGCTTTCTTTTGAGATGCTTGTTCTACGTTGTGAGGGAATAACTGGACTGTATTATTAGGAAAGCATGTTTTATTGCCTGTGAATACTCACGATGGCTGTGCATCCGAGATCTGAACACATCTATTTCTGTGATTTTATACCATAGATTATGAGACTAATAAAAATGAAGTCTAATTTAATGTGCCACTGATAAGATGTTTGCTGTTTAAAGTAAAACGAAACTGGAGTGGAAAGACACAAAAGACTATCGAAGTTTTGAAAGAAATGATTACTGTTGCTGCTGGTTGACTGATGGCACATTTGAATTGAAATTATGAAAATCGTTTTTAGACGTTTTAGCTTCGACTCGGTAATTACATTCGGCAGCTATTGAAGTAGGAGAAGAGAGAAATAAAAGAGCGTCCGCCTCCTTTGAAATGAACCTATTAATGCCTCTCATTTGACTGAGGAACCCAATGAGTGCTGGTCAGAGAGCTGAAGATGAATTCTACTCATTGAGTGCCTCATTGATGTCCTTGATGAGTCAGATATAATTAAACATTGTTGCTCGTGGCCTTTATTCTCCAGACTGTAATTTGCTTCACGAAGAGCTTAATCAGTGCTCAATAAAAATGGAGCCAAACCTGTTTATGTCCTCACTGTGTAAATAGACCTACCTCGACTGCACACGGCAGCCACCTCCTTCAATCTGTCATACTCTGGATGCATATCAATGCACGTATACTCTTATAAATTACTTAATTATTTTTTGTAATGCACTGCCATGCACATGAATGTTAGTCATCAGCTACTTGTGTCCATTTGACGTCAAGTGCAATGTGCAGATTTGTATTCATTCACAATAGTTAAGTCAACAAAGCTGTTTGTTTCGTTGTTAATGGTGCAAAACCTGCTTTCGCATATGAAAGCTAATGCTTTGTGCAAACCAAGGCCAAGGGTTGTAGTCATTCATTGTTTGATTTAGCTCTTGACTTTTAAGAAGCATCTCATGATTAGTGGCTGATAAGTTCTGTTTTTGTGATGTAACTAAAATCTGGCCAGTGTTGCTAAGAGCAGGACTAATTGCTATATTTAATAGAATTGAACAAAGTGAGGTGTGTTTGCATTTAATTAATTCCAAATGCAATATTGTAGTACCCTCAGTGCGCCGTGTTATTGGCTGATAATACTTTATGCAATGCTTTTTCATTGCTGTTTTGGAGTTTGTTTTGTGCGTGGTGGTGTTCTGTTTGTGGTGTGGAATGCTCCAATGCCTGCTTTCAGGCCTATAACCAATATCTATATAGTGTTCCTACTTCAGTTCCCAAAGACTGAGTTGCTCATTGTGTCCCTGAATTCTCAGAGCATTGATTTCAATTTTAATGTATGAACTTTAAGACATGTTTGTTGGATTCTGTCTCTCTGTTCTTAAAGGCAGTTTAATTCACTATTGCAGTAATTAATTCCAAAATTTATCCATGCCTATGGAAGCATCACACATAGGCCGTTTCAAAATATAGAGTACATGATTATGCTGTCCCCTAAGATTTCTTTTTGTTAAATTATACAAATGTTAACACAATGCACATACTGCTTATTAACATACTTGTATGAAATAGGTTGGTTGAATTAAAAATGGACTGTTTTGCCCAATGCATTTTGTGATATGCATCAATGCATTAATGTCTAAAGGTGCATTCACACCATGTTGGAATTACCATAATTAGGTTTCGACTTGTAAAAAGCGTTCACGTCGTAGAACTCGAAAACCCGACTTATACCACCTGACTGCTGCAGATTCATTTTGCCGTTGATGATGTTGACATAGAAACACATAAATCCGAGTCTGAAGAATGTCAATCGTTGTCATTGCATAATTATGATAATTGCAACATGTGTGAACACGGTATAACTCCTGGGTGTTTTGCTGCTTTTGTGGACATTAGACATTAGCATGTTGCTAAGCTAACAACATGATGTCATAAAATATTTATTTAATCTGAACTAGGCAAGGCAAGTTTATTTATAGCACATTTCATATACTATGGCAATTCAAAGTACTTTACAGAAAGGAATTAAAATAATCACAAAATAAAAGCAAGGAAATTTAAAACAGTTATAAAAGAAATTAAGAGTGAAAAGATGATGCCTAGATAAACTTCTTATCTGGCAAAACACCTGTGTATCATATTTTTCACAACTCATTTTTACTCTGAGATTTTCCCCATGGTGATTAAACTGTGTCTGATTAAACTATGGTGGAAACACTTATTCATAATAATATAATAAAATATAATAATCTAATCTAATATAATATAATATAATATAAATCTATATATAGTGATCAGTGGTCCGTGATGAATTGTGTAAAGTTAATCACTCAAATTTCACAGATTGCTTTATGTAACAAAGAAGAGCTGTAATACAGTACCATTTATAAACAGAAGAAAAGTGGTAAAAATGAATAATTTATCATTTTGAAATTCGATGTAGTTATTTGGGTTATTGGTCACAGAGCTCTTGCTTCAGTGTTATGTGTTTTTTAGTATTATCTGTATTTTGTATAGTGTTATCTGTATTTTAGTTCCCTGTTGTTTTCTGTAGGATATATTTTACTGTTTAAATTGGGATCTCTTGGTATTGTAAAGCCATTGTGTTTGTGTGGTTAGTTACTTGTAAATAATCCATTTGTTTTCTTATCTGACCTGCAAACCCCTCATGATGGAGCCGTCATGAGAATCTATGCTAGAACATTCACCTTTAAACCAGCAGGTGAAAATGTCAGTTCAGTTTGGAGGATCAAGATGCTAACAATAGAAGGCATGCAGTGGTAGCGTCTTGAAGTCTCATAGACAAGAACGTCCTGTCCCCAGGCAATAGTCTCCAAGCCTTGTTAGCCGACAGTTTTAGCTCTCTCCCGGAGAAGGAAGGTAGCAATGTTGAAAAACCCGGTAGGGGGGGATGGTGGCGGGCTGCTCCACGGGGAGCCAAGAGCTGTCTGGTCAGGGATCAAATTCTCGCACTGTTGGCTTGCTCGCATCCATAATTCATGTGCTTTTTTACTTGCAGAGGAAAATGGAAAATGTGCTGTGCTTTTTCCTCCAACTCTCTCCTGCTCTCTCACTCTTGCATTTGCTTTTGTCTTTTCATTTGATCAAACTATTCTCTCTGACATGAAAGAGTCAACGCAGGCTTTAAATCCATATAGATTTTTGGGTTTGTTGGATTTTCATATGCCCGTATTCATTCTTGTGGCTCTCTGCTGACTTATTTTCCTTCACATTGCACACTAACATGCTTTCATATTGGTTAGGGATTTTCAAAACTATGGATTTTCAAGATAGGCTATAGCTTGTGAGTTGCATGAGTGACCAGTTGACTAATCACCTGGCCCTGAATGCACAGGTAATTTCTTACGACTGTTTTTAACCTTCCATGGTGTTTAAAAACGCAATGTTTGTGGTGGGATGTTCAAAAAGAGCAAGCACAAGTAGCTCTTTTTACCCCAAGTACCTTGGAGTTTAGGTGTGTTTACATCACACCATGTCTGAATTACCGCAATTACTCAATTTCGATTTGTAAGTGTCTACATCCTCGTAGAACTCATAACTTCAACTTTCTGAGAGCTCTGCACTCAAAATGGCATGGCTTCAGCATTAAAATGTAATTAAGTTATTATTTCAAAATATTTCTGTTTAATAATTCATATAGTTTGACTTAATGCAAGAATAATCTGAAGGTCTTACGGACGTGAACAGATCCAACTAGAATGTCAGGTTGTCATCTAGGAATCGCACCTCGATTGTTTGATTTTGCTTCATTCACACTGCCAGAGA